GCGGTGCAGCACCGTCCCGTCCGTCATGTCGCCGTAGTGGAGCGTGAGGTGTTCGTCGCGGTAGATGTGGTCGATTCGGCCCGTGTTGAAGGACGAAGACCGCCGGATGACGCCGTGCACATCGTAGCCCTTCTCGAGGAGCAGCTCCGCAAGGTACGACCCGTCCTGCCCGGTGATGCCGGTGATCATGGCGACACGCCGCTTGGACACGGACGCCATCGCCTCTCCACACACTCACACACGTGCCCTCACGCACCAAGCTTCCCTCACCCCTGCAATTTGCGCACGCGGCACCCTGAGACACATGAGATGCAAAAAAAAAAGCAGAAGGATCCTCCCACCGAGCGCACAGACGAGAACAGCAGCAGCGACAGGCCCCAGCACGCACCCACGCACAATTTAGGAGGCGGGCGGCACAGGAGAGCAACAGACGCCTCCCCACAGCCGCCAACAAGGCGCCACCACCGGAGAAGCCCCGCACGTGGCAGCGAGAGCAGATAGCAAAACTAAAAGGACCCTATCCGCCCCCGCGCTTATTGATACCCAGTGCCGAGGCCATAGTGAATTGACTAGGGAGAAAGGTAAGACTCATTGTGTAAGGGTGTGTGTTGTTGTTGTTGTTGTTGTTGTTGTTGCTTTTGTTGTTAGACGTTGCTGGCGCGCCACCGGTCATTCAAAAGAAAGGATCCCCAACGGGAGGATCCCACAACGTGTTCCTTATTGACGTATTTCAAGGCCTCCAGTTCCCGCCATTCTCTCCATCGCGGCGAGCACCAACGACTGTACGGCCAATCGCGGTAGAACATGGCGTAGTGCGCACCGAGCTCCCGCTCTGCCATAACTGTAATCATGCCCCAGATGACGTGATAGAGACTGAGCGTCCAGAGTAGGTTGTACCAATCAAGGTCCTCTGTAATCTTTCCAAAGGCCGTTGGCATGTACCTGTTGGCACAGCTGCGACGAGTACGTTGGTACTCCCACAAGAGCAAACGATACTGCCGGCTCCAAGCTGGAGCGCATCGACGTGAAACGATTGTCCCAATGAGTGTCATGGACGTCCAGAGAAGAATGTTAAGGCCGGCGGACTGCCAGTTGAGGTCCCAGAGCTGCTTCTTATTCTTGCTCCATAGCGCCTCAGACTGGATGGCTTGGTGTGTGAAGCACACCATTGCCATTGGGAGGGGCAAGAAGAGATGACGATCCAAAAAGCCGCGCACGCCACGCCCGTCGCACACGCGTCCTCTCAGCACGGCAAGGTTGCACGGAAACGTGATGACAAACACCACTGCCCCGGCCACGGCGGCGCAGCGAAGGCCACAGCAGAGAGCACACTTGCGACGTGGCTCGAAGTCGTTGAACGGCTCCGGCGGAGAGCGCGGGCGCCGCGTCTGACCCAAATCCATCGACTGCCTTGAAACTCAGCTAGCTTCCCGCCTCGATCCTCCTATTGCTAATTGCCTGCAAGAGAACGAGAGGGCCGACGTGGCAGCGGAATGATTTGTTTTTCCCCAGCTCACGTGGCACCGAAGAAACGAAGATGCATGAGGGACTACTTCACGTAAGAGGCAGTAAGAAGCGCAAAACGCAGACGGTGGAGTGCATGGCAAAGGGAGGGAGGGGGACAAGAGGGAGCAAAAAAAAAAGAGTGAAACACAAGTCCTCCAATGCACCTTTTTGTTTGCTGCTCAACTGCCTGCTCAATCAATGCGGCCCCGCCGCCGTGCACGCCCGCACGCACAGAGAGTGAGAGAGAGAAAGAGAGAGGAATCTGACAGACGGCGCGGCAGAAGAATGGGCAGGAAAATGAGTGTCGCCGCCATCGCGGCAGAGTCAAGGAAGAGGAAGAAAATACAAACCCATCTCGCGCCTAGTGAGGGTGGATGAGACGAATGCAGACACCTCAAGCGATTGAAACGCACAAACACACCGCAACACGAGTCCTCGATGCACATGCCCAAATAAAGTCGGTGTGGACATCATCTGCAGCGATGAAAACGAGCCGCCCCACGCAATCAACGGCAACATCGTCTCCTTCACCATAAAAAGTAAAGAAGAAGCATAGTCAGGGCTATACCTCCGTACACAAGCCACGCGTCTAGTTTATTGCGCCGCAGAATCTGCAGAATAGTTGAATTCGCCACGCCAAGAGACTCCAATACATCGGCAACCTTGCTACCTGTTCCTTCCAGCCGCCCGCCCTGATCCCGTAACGCCGCCATAACCGAGTTACTTTCGTCAAGCATTGCCCGAACACGTGCGCGTGCGTGATGCAGGGATTTTCGCTCATCTTCCAAGTGCTGAAGGGAGGAAAGCTCATCGTGACCGCCAATTGTCCGCATCGCGCCAAGAAGCTGCTCAACCTCCGAAATGTGCGTCTCACGCTGCAACGCCTTCCGTCTTGAGCGCTGCAGGGAGACGTCAATCAAATTTAGCTCCGCGATCAGCTGCTGTGCCAGGCGTCGCTGCAAGTCAGTCACCGCCTGACTCCCAGTTCCTCGCGCATGCATACTCGGCGTCTGCCACGCCGTCGGAGAAGCAACGGCGCCAACTGACCTCTGGGCACCCACCCTTCCCTCCGACAACGCCAACAGCACGACACGGACGCTTTCCATTTGCTCCTGCACTTCCTCGTACGGCACGGAACCGCCTTTTTCCGCCTCGGCCACAAGCCTACTGAGCACCGCCACGCTGCTCTTCGCCTGCCGCAGCTGCTTCTCCGCCGACGTACCCGACTCACTGGTGTCCATGCGCTTCGGTCCCGCGGTGGTTTTCAGGCCTCACGAATAGCAGCAAAAACCGCGACAAGGACGGCCACAGAACCAACCGTAAAACCCGCGGCGGCTAAGCCAAGGAAACTAAACAAACAAAAAAGCCACAACTTCTCTCCGGCCCTTCCTCGTGCTGGCTACTCTGCACCTTATCTGCCCCACACAAAAGAATTCACCGGCAACGCAAGAAAAAAGAAAAGGCGCTAATGCAAAACAGACAACACAAAGCAAAAACACACGACAAGCAGCACCCGTCGTCAGTCGACACGCAGCAGTTGGGAACCCCATCGACAACAAAAAGCGCATTCAAGACGGAGCCATGCACATGAAAAAGGCCATTAACAAGGGGGGGGAAAAAAAACAATCTTCAGCACATGAAAGAGGGAGAAGTTGGGTGATATTTGCCTAACACGGTCCGCATGACAAAGAGAAAACGTAAGAGGCCGAAGTTAACATGGAAAATCGATAGTTCACAAATAAACAGGGAGTACAACCCAAAAAGCGCGCGGCGGACCATCACGGCAAGCAAACAAGAAAAAAAAAAGAATGAAAGCAAACAAACCAAAAATGAAGCTTCTTTTGGCCCCTCCTTCCATCAGTTCTGGACGGTTGCCTCTTCAGCATCACGAAAGGTGAAACTACGTCACACCTCCCCTCCACGCACGGCTTCTTTTACTCAGGTAGAAAAGCAAGGACCACGTCTCCACAGTGGCACGCTACCTGTTTTTTTTTCTTTTGTTGCCTCCGCACTTCCACGTAAGACGTTTTCTCCTTCGCAGTTACCAAATGTCTGGCTCGTAAGCTGCTCCCTCGATGCCCCTTGATACTCACCACCAACAACAAAAAAAACACGCACACGGAAGCGGGTCGCACATAAACTGCGCCACCCCACTCACCCCATCCACCGCCATGCATAACGGACCCATAAACCGATACAGAAGCTCTTCCGCTTCGTGAGAGCAGAAAAAAAAAGCGCATTGCAGTTAAGTGTGGCTCTTTCCCCCTCTCACCCTCCGCAGAGCACAAGCATGCAAGCGCCAATGCATCCGCCGCGCACACCCCCGCTCCACCCGCCGCCCTTTGCAGGCGCACTCGGCCCGCCTCACCGCCACGTATCCACGCCGGTCTCGACATCGTGGATCTCCTGCCGCACCATGTCGTCCACCAGCTCCTGGAAGCTGCACGTGGCCTTCCAGCCGAGGTCGCGCTCGGCCTTGCTGGCGTCGCCCAGCAGCGTCTCCACCTCCGCGGGGCG